CACTCTACTCACTGTTTGATTTAACCTACTATAGGGATTCAATTAATAACGGTAGTTTGGTAACTTTCAGCTCAGTATTACATATTATAGCTCTTGGTATTCTTACCTCAGCAGGATACTTGGTCCCGGCGACGGTGTGTTCAGAGCCCCTGCTGTCAGAACCTCCCCAGTGGAAATGAAACTGCTTGAGCCTGTAGGTCCCTGAGATCGGTCCGTCTTTCAGAGCTGCAGAAGGACACACATCACTTCATCACACACTGAGCGTGGGCAGTACTGCACTCAGCCACAGTGAGGCTTCACTTGCCTCCATTGTGAGACATTTTTTTAAACAAAGAAGAAGATAAAAATAGAGCTATAAAAACACAAGGACCAGGTAAGGAAGGGTGAGTAAGATGTGTGTGTTTACACACATAGTCACACACACTTGTGTCACCGTGACAGACTTCCTTTTTTCATGGAAGCAGATTCAGTTCCTGTTATGTAAGACGGTCAAATTGAGTGTCACGATCAGTCTGAAGCGATGTCCAGGTATTGTTAACACCAAGCCTCCTGTCTATGTTACATGATGTATCTATTTGCATGTTAGTTGCGGATAATCCTGTATATTGTACTATTTATGGCGCATTGTTGTGAAATTCACACACGGCCCTCTCCTCACAGGATATGTGTTTCTATATGGTCGGCCTTAAGTTATAAAGCTAGAGGTGCAGAACTGGTCTTGAAGAATTCTGAGGTTGTGTTGGATTTAAAGGGATTATTGAAAACCAGAAATAAAAGAGGATGTGATTTTAATCTTCCCCACTGTACACACTCATGGTGCATGACATGATGTATGACTGTGACACACACAGATTTAGCCTGCTCTTTATTTAGAAGGGCAGGGTGGAAAATAAACAGGGAAATATGAAGGGGGAATTAAGAGGCTCTAATTCATCTAGGTCACATTCTCAGGAAAAGTGATTTTGTTTTTGCATCTCGATGCGTGTCCAGTAGAAATAATCTGTGTGATTGTGTAGATTATGTAATCCTCATTATTTTTTGTCAGATCAGATTAATGACGACCAATCCCAAACATCCAAATACTAAACATTCAAGAAGCCAAAGCCATTGCTTCTTTCTAAAAAAAAAAAAAAAAATCTTTCAAATAGAACAAAGAAAGCATTCTCCATCCTCCGAGGGACATCTTGTGCTTTAGGTTACCTATTCCCAAGGAAAGATTTTCACACTAAAAGTGAAGCAAACCGGTGATTATTTGCAGTGTAAACTCCGTTCTTTTGCATTTTGACCTCAAAGCCTGCAGAAAAGAGTTGGCGTGGGAAAGGTTTAACTGGGGTTGCATTACCAATTCAATTAGTCTGTGCATGCTTTGTGCAAAGCTTTATGAATAGAGCCCCTGCAGCCTATTCACCAACATTTTTCTCAATATAAAAAGGAAAGTAAAAAGGACCAAAATCACACAGTGAAATTCACTGAATTAGTGTATTTGTGTGTTTTCTGCTTTAATTTCCGAGCGCTAATAAAAAGTCTTTGTTCGTCTATTTGATCACTAAATCCTTCTACCTGAAACTAGGCAACAAAATTCGTTGATCCGCGTAAATATCAACATAATATTAACATGCTTGAGTTCTATCAGAGCTGCAGAGGAAAAACAAAGCATCATCCATTAAACCTTAGTGGCGCATTTTGGAGGTTGCTGCATCCTGTAAATCAGCCTCAGGACCCCTGAGCGTCTTTGTCTGCAAACATATTGAATTCAATAATCCTATAGCTCATCTAATGTGTCTAAAAATATTGCAGCTTATGATTGTGATGAGAGGGAAGCAGCGTGTTTATCATCAGTAAGGCGATATATAACAAAATATATTTTCTTGCATACGTTTTTTTTTTTTTTTATCAGACTGTGTGGATCGTTGATATCAAGCCCCGCTGGCTTCTCTCGGTGTCTCTGTTCATACAATATTAATGTCACACTAACTTGAGCTGTCGGAGTCATCTGCGAAGGTCACTTGGAAGGAATGTCCGTTGTTGAGAATTTCAAGGCAGTTGGAGGGGTCGTACTTCAGGTTGAGCGGCTTCAGCCCCCCGTCGAAGGATGCTTCACCAGGGACGATGTCAATGGGAGACTGGCGGGGTCCATTGGCAATTGGGAAGTTACCGGCCCATTTGTCGGGTCCTAAAATCATTCAAATATAAAATTGTGATTAGTATTACATTAGTATGTTTTTGAATTAGTCTAATTGCGCATTTGGGGATGTTGGTGTGCTTACAACGCGCGCAAAACCCCCCAAATGCGCATAATTAAAAAAATCTCTGCAGTGACCGGTGCTTCCATTCATCCTGCACACTCTGCTGCTGGTATGACTGGTTTTAACATTCCTCTTAGAAATGTCACTCCTACATTACAGCATGTGTACGTGCAATTAGCGCCTCACCGTTGTCTGCTGCGTATCCCCAAGCGTGAGACATTCTAACAGTGTGGATCTATGAGTGTCTATAATCCTCAATAAAGCGACTCGTCCACACAGTGCAAAGCAGCCAGTGTCCTCCACCTGCCAGCTGCAGCGCTTATATAGGGTTCCCCCCTGTGAGTGGTGTGTCTGTCAGCAGGCTGGAGTTGGCCACATGATGTCCGCGCAATGACCGGGAGGAGTTTAGATGAGCCGCGACGCAGCGCTGCAACACTGTGGATCAATAAGGATCTCTCTCTCTCTCTCTCTCTCTCTCTCTTTCCTTCCCTCTCTCTGTCTCCGTGTGGAGCTAAAGTCTGCATTTAAAAGCCTCAGTTTAATTGATAGTCTGAATCATTTTCCTACACTCTTTCCCAGCTAACGGGTTCAACTTGTCTGTCAAGGAAGTAACGGAATTACGTGGCAACATGCAGCCTCGTGTCACCTTCAAACCGAAAGCTGTGACCTGCAGCCCACTGAATCATTGTTTACATTTAAAGACACTTGAAATATTATGATCTTTAATCAAATATTAAGTTTTTCATACTTGTTGGAAAGCATGAAATGAAACGCAAATATTTATCTTAATATTTTAACAGTGAAGCAGAAATGGTAACAGCTTTAATTCAACTGTGTAATTTATTGGTACTTTGCCTGCTGCATGAACTCTGTGCCATAATTAAATATTAATCACTGAAGGCAGAGTTCAAGGAAATTTGGACTGGAGTCTAAACATCAAGTTGGATCTCTAAACTAAAAATGGTTATTCTGACAATTTGAATACACAAATTGTAAAGATATCAAGTTTTTATGAAACAAGAACTTTTGCATAGGGCAGGAGAGTTATCTTGCTTCTTCTTGCACAGCTCCCAAAGACAGATAACAACAAACTGAAGGCCTGCAGCACATGATTTGACTGTGATGTTGCTTCAGAAATGCACATGTAAGGAATTTACACGGAAGGAACCCACCTGTTGGATGTGGTCAGAAGACGCTGAAATGACTGACAAATAATATTATTGATATAGCCTATCTATATTCTTTACATGGTTATAAAAAAACACACACAAAAATATCAGAAATATACCTTATTGATTTAAATGTAATCAATAGGCTACATGGTCAATAGCCTAAAAAAATCCATCACAGGACAAATTGTGGTTTGTAATTTCTGTTCTTCTTTTAAAAATGCAGCATGTGGAAAAATAGGCCTAAAAATCCACATTTTTCCTCTGAGGTTGGATTGCATCCTATAGCCTAGTGGTCAGCTCAGTGTTCAAAGAAAGCTCACATTCTCTGACAATCAGCCACCTGCCACGAAGTCAGCTTAGATGGTACCACGGCGCCACCTGCTGTCGGTTATAGAGAAATGAAGGCTTGTGGTACCCTATCATAGAAGTGCATATTTTTCTATCCAAACAAACATTCGTTACATAAAGAAGATGTTTAAGTCTATTATAGGCTAATCCAAAACGGTGACTGTTACACAAAGAGTGGGCTTTAATGGTGTAAATTATATTGGAATTCCTTCCATTCACATGCACCTTAACTGCCTCTGCTTTATCTGCTCTCATGCACTACATCACTTTATTCTGTCCATTTTATATCAGTATTCATACAGTTCTGCTTAATTTATTCCTGTTGTTTCTTATCCATCATTACACTACGGTCACTTTATTTATCTCATTTTTACCTTTACAGTTATATTGTTTATATTAGTTCTGTTGTTCCATTATTCACCATGCACCTTAATAACTTATCATTCAGTATTTGCCTACTTGCAAATAGCTCTGTATATATATATATTTATTAATCGTTTACTGCACATAGTTCTGTTTACATCTGTTTACATCTGTTTACATCTGTTAGTCCGATCACTGTCCACTCATATCTACTCTTTTATATTTTGTATTTTTAAGTTAAGTTTAAGCTTTAAGTTGTATTTAAATTGACACTTTCTATTGAGGTTAAAATGTTTCATACTTACACTGTTGTTGATTTACTGCTCTGTGTGCCTTTGAATTGCCCCCCGGGGACAAATAAAGTTTTTTTTAATTTAAATTGAATTTGAATTCGGCCTACCTTGCAAATATTAATTATGGTCAGGGGTCATGTGAGTCATGCTTTGATCGTCATTAAAATATATATATATATATATATATATAATACACATTCAAGTACTACTTTTGTTTTATTATTAAGAGTTCACGTACTAGGTGTTTATTTTTTTATTTTTTATTCGATTAGCCTATTTATCTCAACAAAATAAAGATGCACGATGTCGGCCTATATTTTGTTTTTTATGAATTAAAATTGAAAATCTTGTTTTTCTTATCAAATAATGAAATAATGTTTTTTTTTATGTGGATAACAAACATCAGTGGACTGAAGAGCAACAACAGGTAAAGAACAAGATTGTGTTTCCTTTACCAACACGTACGCTTGGTGTATTTTTTGTTGTTTTTTTTTTGTTGCCCATCACTACTTTACTTTACTTTATTTTATTTTATTTTTACACCTTTTATTTTCCACAGTGGGGAACCGGGGTGCGGTGCGAACCATTGTCGTCGCACCCTGATGACGTATTTGCACTGACACGCTTTTCCCAGCACATGAGGAGATCAACATCTGGTCGTCGCTCTGTGTAAACGGTAAGTTTCTTGTTATCGTCTTTGTTTATTCAATCAGCAATGTGCTTACATGTTTGTTTTTTTTGTTTTTTACAGTGTAGTAAAATTAATCAACTTAATTTAAAAAACGGTAAAAAAAAATCTCTAGAAGCCAAATGTGCGCCGTGAAACAGACAGACAACAACAACAACAACAACAACAACAACATGCTGTCTCTCTTCTTTTTAACTAATGGTTCACCCACAGAGATATGATACGGCTTCAGAGTGATGTTAATGCTTCTCTTATAGCCACGTTTAGTGCTTCTCATGTATTTAAATAAAGTAAGAAGTTGGGTTCATCTGAAGGATCAAAACAGACTGACTGCAAAGATCAGCTGGAACTTCTCCACTGTTTAATCTTTACTTTCTGTGCAATCTGTTTGTAAACTGGTCAATAAATTGTCCAGCCACCCATGTGTGCACATTGCAATACTGATACTACTGGATAACAACATGCCTTCTGTGCAATAACCGTGCAAAAGCTGCAAAGTTCAACACTGCACATTTTTTACATTTCTCTTTATATGTTTGTATACTCTGCATTATGGTGCCTATTGCTGTTTCTGTGTCTGTGGCTTTGAATGTAAGTGAGCTGTGTATGACATGCCCCCCCCTCTGGAGACATACACAAAAAAAAAAAAGGTCACACACTCTGATATTTCGTTGGAGCGCCTTCAGCTTTGATTACTTCACGCACTCGCTGTGGCGTTGTTTCCATAAGCTTCTGCAACGTCACAAGATTTATTTCCGTCCGGTGTCGCATTAATCTTTCACCGATAAATTGTGTTGATGATTTGGAGAGTCGGACGACTGACGCAAAGTCTTCTCCAGCAACATCCCAAAGATTCAACAGTGGGGTTAAGGTCTGGACTCTGTGGTGGACAATCCAGGTGTGAAAAAGACGTCTCATGCACCCTGAACCACTCCACCACAGTTTGAGCCCGATGAATCCTGATGAATCATCTTGGATTATGCCCGTGCCATCAGGGAAGAAACAAATCCATTGATGGAATAACCTGGTCATTCAGTATATTCAGGTAGTCCCCAGATCACAGCACTGCCCTCCACAGGCTTGTACAGTAGGCATGATGGGTGCATCACTTCACCTGCCTCTCTTCTTACCCTGATCACTCTGGAACAGGGGAAATCTTCCTTCCAGTTTTTAATAACCCGTTGGACAGTTCTTAACCCAACTTGAGTAGTTTCTACAATCTCCTTCGATGTTTTCTCTGCTTGATGCATGAGACTGATTTGACCCTCCTCAAACAGACTTAACATCTTTTCCACGACCACAGGATGGGTCTTTCAACACCGTAGTTTAAGAAGTGAGAAGCTACTCATTGCATCAGTTGGGGTTAAATAAGTTGTTACCAGCTGAAAGATAATCGCCCATGCAGTTATTATTATCCAATGGGAGGCTCTTACCTATTTGCTTAGTTAAATCCAGGTGGCGACTTTTGTTTTTTGGACAGGCAGTGTATATTAGTGTTAGAGAAACACAGTGAAGTGTATTTTGTATAATATGTGACCTTTAGATACTTTGTGAATAAATGTTATCTTTACTGTTAACTTTGAGGGTAATTGACATGATTCTAAAACTTTTCTCAGAATGTTTTCACGAGGAGCAACTCTTTGTACTTAGGAAGCTTAGTGAATACGGCCTCTGATTTATAACCTGCTGTCGGTGATCTTCACAGAGGTGTGAGTGCAAATTTGAGGAGAAGCTGGTCAATGTAGAAATAACCACTTTAAAGCAGACGGGGGAGAAAACAGAGGCCGTACAATGAAACTTAAAAGTCTCCTGGCAGCCTTTCCATGCTGATTGTGTTTCTTTCCCCAGGTATCATGGGAAAGAATAAACAAAAAGGGAAAAAGCAGAAGAATGTCTTTCATGTCGTAAACAAGCACTTGAAAAACAAGCACAAAGCCAAACCCGTCACAACAACGCTCAAACACGTAAGATCTCCTTTTCTTGTTCTTGTTTTGCTTACACCTTGTGTGTACTCTACGTTGTTTGACGTTTTGTTTCGCCCGCTCTCGTCTGATTTGTGGCCTCGCAGATAAACGTCGTGAAGAAGGAGAAGGTGGAGAACCTCAATCAGATCTTCACAGAAGTCCAGAGGGATGTGACGAGCGTTTCAAAGTCGGTTGCTCCTGAACCAAAGAAACAAACGCAGGTAGACGTATAAAACTCCTATTTCTAATTGAACCTTTCTTTTCTCTATATAAACTATAACATCATCTTTTATTTGATCCTTTTAGGTTGTCAGAGAGCCTCCAAAGGAATCTGTAAATGTTGACAATGCAGCTCAACTCTTTTCTCAACTCTGATGGACTTTAACAATCACACTGTTGTGAACTCTTAACAACAAATCATCACCAACTTCTGTATCGCTCTCCTCCTTGAATGTATGAAATAGTTACCTTCCAGTGCAGTTTGACATTTCATGCCAACATGAGGACGGCAGGTGAGCTGGGAGTGTGAACAAACCATTCTCCATGATGTTAATTTAAACCCTCTGTAAATAAATTAACTGACAGACTTGGGACATTGTGGATGTTTTTGCATTGTTAATAGTGAATCGACTTTGGTGCAGAATTGTTGACTGTGTCATAGACTGTAACCGATGATTTATTACATGCCTTTATCTTCATGAATGAATTAGATTGTAAAATAACAAATACTGAAGAATGACCAATACAGTTTCCAAGAACCCTTGTGTGACTTTTTTGAGTTTCTTATGTTTGTCTAAAACCTCAAAGCTTCTGTGAATTGTCCAAGCAGTAACCTCTTCATAAGGGCTTGTTCTTCATCTTCAATCTTTTTGCAATTAAAGGCGACTCATGAGGCTGAAGAGAAAAAAAATTTATCAGCCAGATTATTAAACCATGTGCACTCTGTAACTACGCAGAGCAGCTCTACTTCAGCATTTCACACCATCATGCCTGTTAGTGCACCTGAAGATGAAGTATGGATTTTTCCGGCTCCACCTGTGAGCACTGTGCTGTTATCAGTATGCTGCGGCCGTACCTCGGCATGAGAGGTCATAAGTGTAGCAGAGCCCGGCTGATTGCTTGTCTCTGCGCTGACCTCTGACTGAGTTAGTTGGTCGTTAAATGTGTAGCGAGGGGAAAGCAGGACTGAGGCAGGTAAACAATCCGACACATGGCTGTAAGGACAATAAGCCGAGAATGAGATCTTCAAGGTGAAGGTCTCATCCACCCACTCGTGGAGATAGTAAAGCCTGGACAATAATGGAGAAGAATTGCAATGTAGGATCACAGTTCGATGTTGCAATAACGATATGAAGTGTGATACATTTAAAAGTGTGCATATTTGTTTTAAATCACAGTTTTTGTATATATATATATATCTGCTGTTTAAATGTTTTAAACAATACAGCATGTCCTTTCTGGATCCAAAAGGTGTTTTTTTTTTTTTTTTTACTGAATCTGAGGGAGGCTGATAGCTTGCTTCATTGGACTAAATCAGAAAGAGTTGAAAGTATGGCCATCATACACAGAGCTCCCTCCACTGGTCAAAATGTACAACATGCTGAGTGAAAAAGCTTTGAATTTATACATAAAATACATTTTCTCATTTGTTGTAATAAAACTCAGACTTCTGAGTGGAATGCTGAATTTGAATATTAATCGCAGGGACAAAACAGCGACTTCTCGTGCAAAAGCAAAATATTTGTTGTAGGACAGCAGAAATTGTTAAACAAACATTTCTTCCTTGTAGTTGTGACACCAAACTTGTCAGCAGGTTGTGGTGTTTTTTTTTACAGACAGTATTTATGGATCATTGTGAAGATTTAGAAGAAGGAGGTAGTGATATGCACATCACATTATAGGTGCAGGACGGAGCAGAAACAGCAGACTGGGGAAGAAGATTTGCCTGCACAGGTGCTCAAATGCCACAAAATGTTTTAATTCACATTTGGACCCGAGGTCACCTGAAGAAGACCTCTGGTGGAAACGGTTTGATTATGATTAATTAAAAGTTTTTTTAAAAGGTGCTTAAAGGTTGAGCTAAGGAGGACCAAAGAAACCTTTGTGGAGAACCTCTCTCCTTTTGAAAGTATGAATTTGACCTTTTGTCATAATAAAACTATGACTATGAACAGCTTTAAAAAATACAAATATGTAACTGCACAAAGTGAGAGTCGTCTGAAAATGGGCAGAAAAACAACATTGTAAGCATCAATAAAACAGCTCAGGGAGTCTTAACAAATATACCAGTTATGGTCTGAAATGCATTAGATCAACACCTTGGGGCAGAATATTTCTAATACCGAGTAGGAGCCTCTCAGTGGGAAATGTTTGGCGGGGAGGGTGTAGCAGATGCAGTGTTAAGATCTCAGGTGCTCCCCACTGTGATCCAGATGGCTGCACCACAGCACAGGCGCAGGGGTTTGCACCAGTACACCCTGGGGAGACAAATATCATGCCAGAACTCACACTCATTGAATTTCTAATGTAATCTACATGAGCAGGCAGGGGGTGCGGCTTGAACTGCGGGTAAACGGAGGAAGGGCACATTTGTCTTTTTTTTTTTGTCACTTTTATTCATGCAAATTCTTCTTACTGCTTTAGAATGTATTCCTATAATTAAGATCTGTAAACCATCCGTTATAAATGATGACAGACTACATTAATGATGTCATATTTTAGAAAAGAGATTCATTATTAAAATCCAGAGAGAACACTCCCACACACTTTTGGTTGAACCTGTATTCTTAGTTTTTTTTTAATTTAACATAATCATAAGGGATGTTTCAAAAACCACCAGTGCTGGAAGTGTCCACTAGATGGTGCTCTGGATGGGCTTATCAATATGCACAGTGACAAGCAAGGAAGTGGATATTTTCTGTGTGTGTGTGTGTGTGTGTGTGTGTGTGTGTGTGTGTGTGTGTGTGTGTGTGTGTGTGTGTGTGTGTGTGTGTGTGTGTGTGTGTGTGTACAGAGAAAGAGAGAAGTGTAATGCCCCCTGAATGCCAATAGGAAGTTGAAGGCCTATTTACAGCATGTCATCCCTGCTGCACAGCTGGGTTTCTCACTCCAACAGGACTCGCAGCAAAAGGTTACAGAACCTGCTCTCCTCTCTGTGACAGAAATAAGAATCAGTGTGTTTGTTTGTGCATGAAACACACACACACACACACACACACACACACACGCACAAAGAAGTGTTTTTCTGTGCAGATTTGCCTTTTCAGTGGCCAACCCTGAGCTCTGCAGTTGCACAAACTCCTGAAATCAGTCTTTGTACAAGCCTTAATGGTGATATACTCTTCCTCTCTTTACTTCTCCTTCTTCCGCTTTTTGAATTCAAATGAAAGCCACAGGTTTCAAGGACACACCTCATCGGCTTAAATGTCCACATGAGATATGCTCTTAAATGATTGATGCTTTTACTGATCTCTTGGTCCCATTTTCTCCATCAAAAGAGACCGTGAACTATTCACAGTGAAGCATATTGACTCTGAAAAGGGAAGCAAAGTGAATTATCAAGTGCAACTATGGAGATTTAAAGGTCAAAATGGCATTCAAGTAAAAATAATTAGTCAGGATGAAATGTTAATAGTAAACTCCATGTATATTTTTCTTTGAGTTCTCATTGGAATAAAAGTCCTCCTTCAAATATGAAGTACTTATTCCGCTCGTTTGAATCTTCCCTTAAAGTCTGTAAAAGGCATTTCATCAACAAGTTGGACGGCCAAAATTCAATTTATGATTCAAATGTTCTCTTCATTCCAGAGTAGTGAAGATTTTTGCTGCTGCTGTAAACTCTGGATGATTCTCAGGCAGCCTGACTACACACTAGATGGTTTTCAAACCTTAACCAATGTTAAAAACGTGGGAGAACAAAGATATAAGGACAGTTTCAACGATCAACATCGTCCATATTTAGGTTGAGGACAAGACCTGCTGCTGCGTTTTTGATTCATCTGCAGGGGTTTGATAGTTCATGTAGGAAGACCTGTCTGTGAGCTGCGTCCGTTGTATTCTGAATCCGTGCAGAAATGTGTTTAGAATGGCAGTTATTGAATATTTTATAATTTCCTTGATGCTTGTTCATTGGTTGCTCCGAACACCATGGGGTACAGTTGAAATGTCTTGATTAAAAGGGCTCCTCGCTGCGTTAATTAAAGAGTATAAATGCCATGCGTGATTGAAATGGTCTGAATTCTCTCATTACAAGCAGGAAAAGGTGATTAATGCTTTTTATCCCTGTCTCCTTTATGCTTAGAATAAGTAGGGTTTTTTTTCTTGTGTCGTTGAATTCCTTACTTCAGAAGTATATAAAGGCGAATGTGTTTGCATCAAGGTCAAGGGAAGAAACAGAATTTTAAAGCGTACCGATCCAACCTCAGCTTCTGGTAGATCTTTGCTGAGGAAGAAACGCCTCGGAAACTCAATGTCTGGCTTTTTGACCCAGCTGGGCTGAACAGGTTCAAAAGTAGAAGCTTTAAGCTTTAAGAATACTTCAGCACTTTTATCACTTTAGTTTTTTTTCATCATGTTTTAGTTGGTTTTAAAATAGGTTTCCTTCTCCCTAATGTGTTGTCCATTGTTACATCTGTTTTGTAATCTGTGTGTCGTGATGGATGTCGATCTTGCTGGCTGCAAACAAATCTACCAACATATATATAAATAACGTAACCTGAACCTGAACCTAAAATAGCCAAACTGTTTGCCAGGAGCTTTGAAACAATTGATTCTGAAATTATCATGGTAAATAAGATGATGCCCAAACATATATATCCTCTTATATGTTTTTTTTGTTCAATTTTGATTATTAATATTGTCAAAGTAACATAAAAACATCCAGTAGAGACTCATAGAGCGATTGTATTTCATCATGTTTTGAAGGTGGTCTTATCCAACCTGTTATGTGCTGACCACCAGAGCTGATAGGTACAGGCTTTAGTCCCAAGCTAAGCCAAGATCCCTGTTAACTCCCGTCCTCAGACTGTACCTGGACCACATCCAAATACCAAAACAAACACATCCAAACCTCTGCAGCACCATTTTCCATCTGCAACAAACCACCAGAGCGTCGAGCCACTGCAAGCTGTTCGGCTGGTAGGGAAGGAAATAGGCTTTACACTCGAGAGGACATGGCACACAGAGTTCCTTTCTTTAATAGGATCCCAGGCACGTTGTTGAAGTCGCCGGTGAGGTCCCACCTGCGGCTTCTGTGGGCCAGTTTGGTGTCTGAGGGACGGGGGGGGAAGCACGGCTCAGGAGGAGATGTGCAGAGGAGCGGCTGTTTGCCTGACAGTGAAGTGAGGAGGAGAGAGAGCTTTCTGCTACACCTGTCAGACGCATGAACAAAGTACATCTGTTCATCCCCTCCTCCTCCGTCAGATGTCAGCCGCTAAAAACACGGCACACTTATTTCTGCCCGCTGCTGTCTCTTTGGTTTTTTCACACGCATATGAGCACACAAACAGTTAGAACCAGGCAGACAAAGAGGAACATTGTGCAAATATGTTCATCCTTCAGCCAGACGTTCAAACACCCCCCCCCCCCCCCCTTTGTGGTCCTGGTTCCTTGCCTCTCCACATGTATGTCTGTGAAAGGAAAAATGCAAATCTTGTGTTTTTTAAGTTTGTAGTTGAGTTCTGCATTTTTAACCCACAGCTGATCCAGGAAATGTTAGAGGAGAGAGAGATTAGAGCCTCTGTACATGGGACGCGTGACATAAC